CGATTATTTAACCTCAGATTTACGGGACCATGCATGTATGCCCCAATACAAACTGACTATCATGGTAGCACACGTAGAGGAAGTGGTCCATTCGCTCACTAATTAGATATGACCACTAAATCGTCCTTTTATACATAGGGTGTATGAACACAGCTTTTTTTAGCAAAAATATATAGGGCATTTGATCCAGAAATAAATCCTGGTTGCACGGAACACCAACATATTGTTTCACACAATGGAAGGTTGTGACGCGACTACTTTACATCGCGCCAAACTCATGTTTTTTATCACGCTTCAGCGTCCAACCATGCCACAATAGGGTAGGAAAAAGTAGTGGTTGAGTTGTACCGAGGGCTGTGATGTTGCTAACGCTTCGCACTGTCAATGCAGGGTCATACGACGTTTCGAAAATCCGACAGCCTACGATGTTTTCTTCGTGCGCGTGGTTTTTTCTGTCACAAATGCGGACCGTTTGGCAAGTCATAGTTGTGTTTTAGAAAATTCAGACCTACCACCCTGAGTACACCTGCGTTTTGTGTGTGTGTATGTGTGTGGGGGGGGGGAGCTTGTTGGAGTCCAACGCAGCTGCTGTTCGCGGTGAAAGTCAGCCAATTCATTTCGATGCTACCGTTTGTCTGAAGCAAAGCTCAAAAAGTTGTTCGCATACACAGATGTTACAAGCCAACGAGTTGTTTGACCACAGTATTGCTTTCTGCCAATGAATAGGGCATTGCCTTCTTATTTGCTTCCCAGCGGTCAGTACTCATCTCCGGATATTTTGTCGTTTGTATGACACAGGGCCTCTTAATCACCTAACTATTAAATGCAATAACAAGTGCATGCCCCCGAGTATAACAATTCAGCAGGCTCATTAGTCCTTGGTCTCCGTGTCAGTTTCACCAGGCCAACAAGAAACAGTTTGTACAATTTTGTCCTGACTACGAATTATCCTTGTAGCAGCGTAACCGTGCTAAGCAACTTCAGTTCCATTTCTGGTAGGTTTTCCGATTGGATATCGGTGTCTGTACTTTTACACTTCGAGCATGCCTTCCTCAATGAATTATAACATACTGGCACTCGGCTCATGTGTACGTTAGCCTCATAAATTGGGACTAACCACTTGAGATGCGACAGCTCACAGGACGTCTGACTGACAAACTCCGCCACCTCGGCTTTTAAACCTTGATGACTGTTGCAGTTATGGGGGAGATTCGTCACAACCGCATTCAATCAGACATCCAATGCTCAGCTGGGAGAGGACCAGATAGCCGTTTCGTTCCAACGGGACTTTTCAGTAGTGTGCATTCCGGTGAACTGTTAGAACCCTGCATATCTGGGTCTCAGAGAAATGATTACTGACCGTCATGATCAAGTGGCTAACTGTGCTATCGCACGACGCTGACACCCCACTATGAGGCATGTGTTTCATGTGCAAAGAATGCAGTTTAAGTCAAGGCAAGTCAAGAAAAACTTTATGCACCCAACTGGGTGTGTTTTCAGCATTTTACCCTATCAACCACAAATGTGGTATAAACATCATCTGTAAAGATGAGAATAGTACAATTTTAAAAACAGAATGGATAAAGAGTGCACAGATGTCACTTAAGTAAACAGTCCCGGATCTTTGAGCAACGATCACACATTGATTAAACAAATTATAAGATTCTTCTTCCAGTTGAGGAGGCCAACATTTGTCAAAACGTTTATTGATAGCTCGTTTCCACTGGATAAAACAGCAAACCGCGAATTTTGCGCGGCGTCTCAGAAACTTTTCAAAGAATCGACGGAGATGAGCGACCTCAATGACTTTGAAGTTTTCCAACCAAAGAATTAGAATCAAATTTATACCTCTGCAATAGCTAGCACAAAAATGATATTTTGGTGCAGAGCGGCAAAAGGCCAATGTAAAGACCCACTGCAGCGCCCAAAAGATAACGGCTATCTTTCATGTACAATTTAATTGTTGAACGATTATACATTGTTCTTTCTTGTTTTAATCTTCCTTACAACCGGCTCGACACTCGACCGCCTTGTAAGTCCCCGCGCTAACGTGTTCGCTCTTGTCTCGTTTCATCCGTCCGCGTCTTCTTGCAGCCCATCGAATACAGTCCACTATGTCGGACTCCAATTGCCTTCTGATATCCGTGCTTACTTTCGCGCACCGTCTCGGACTAGTATTAACTAGTCCTGCACCACCAGTCTTCAGTCAATAGCAGTTGATGTTTATATCCACTAATCCGCATTCCGAAACATCTCGATGGATTTTAATGCAGCTAAAGCGACTAGCGATTGAGCAATTATAGTGGATGGAAAAATTCGGGTTTAATTTTGAAGGTTAGGTGCAGCTGCATTCAGTCACACTGTCAGTGCACCAGTCGATTGTCACTGCTGCGATACTGATTAGCTCTAAATGCTGTTCCACCATGTCGGCCAATTGCCTGCTTAAGCGTATGGCTCGGAGGTTTTTCGCTTCGAATCCTCATGAGCGAGCGAATAACATGCACTCATTTTGCAACGGGCATTTTCTCATTCAATTATACATGTACGATTTCCGAGTGTTGTTCATAACTTGTCATGCGGATCTACTTGTTTGTGAGCGATTTTCGTACCAGCAATCTGGCACAGACAGTGGGACTTTCACGCGCTGCCCACTCTGTCTTATCTCGTTGGGTTTGCATTCGCTATGAGCTTTTTATCTGTGGCTGCGGATAGTGTACCACAGACTAGCTAGGGTTTTTGTCATGTTCACTGGTTTATTCAGGGTAGCCAATTCGGCCTAGAAGTGAGCCATCAGTCCAATAACATTTTACATAGCATCGATTATAGGTACTGCTTTATTGACACCAAATTCCTCCAATATATATATATATATATATTCGCTAGGCAAGGACTGACCAGTTGTATGTAGTATTGGTATTTTGAGTAGTCAGTGTACACGGTGGACCCCGAAGTAAGTACAGTAGTTAGTGCTAACTAGCAGAGTGGATATTATGCTCACTTCATTTCGCCATGGTGGTTGCGTATCAAACCCAATTCCCTGCTTACGTTCCTCGTTGCCTCTTCAGCCTAGTTTCAAATGAGGAGCTTCCGCAACAAAAAAACCTCAACTCCAAATTTATGTTATGCAAAAATCAACCTACTTAGGGATACTGGTTTACCTGACCTGTGACAATATGTCTAGGAGCAAGGATGCTTTTCCTGGAGAATACTTGGAATGTTTCTGATGAGACGCCACAAGCGGCAAAGCTTACGAAGTATCCAAACTGCCCGGAAGCACATCCATGTATTAGACTTCGATCTTAAGCCCAAGAATTTGGGCTCCTGAAACTTGATAGCCAAGTCACTGATTATACACAAGTTTGAGTGGACTATAAAAGCCACGAAACTCAACTTTCGTTTGTATCAGCTAGGGTATTCTGAACAACAAATGCAGATTTGCCTTATTCCCACACTCAATGCTTTTTGGTTTCCAAAACTTGAGAACATTTGGCTACCCAAGTCTCTAGCAGATATGTGAGGCGGGATCAGACCTAGTGGCGGAAAAATTTCGCTTACAGGTCAGCCGAGGCACTCATCTTCCTGACCAGCTTCACATGTGTTGAAACACCCTAAATAGAACTGATGCCACTTATTTCTACTTGAATGCTTTCTGCTGATTGCAAAATTTCCAAATAAAGCTCTTCATTTTCGATGAATGTTGGTGATGGCTTTTCGATGGTGGTAGAAAGTGTTCGTTGCTCCTGAAGCTTTATCAACACTGGCGGCGTTGAACAGGTGAGCATGCACACCAAAAGACAACTACAAAGGACAAAGGGCCTGACTTGCATGAGTAAGTAGCTCACAAAAATAACAACTGCTCAAATGATGAATAAAATCGGTAGTGGCTAGCATGCGTTTGAACCACACCGCCACATGACCAGATGGGGAGTCGAGAAGTGAAATCTCTCAAGGGATTATCCCGCACGGAAGCAGCTCCCCGGGACACGGTTTCACAGATAACCGTGTTACTTCACTTGTTCATTTTTACCCTACTTCATTATGCGTTGAATCTGTTGTGTTCTTGGTTACGAGTTAGCCTATTTCAACCTTCCTGCTGCATTCCCGATATTTCCCAGTAAGTTATTTATTAGACCATACCCTTGATCTTGGTTGTGGTGCCATTCTGTTCTAGCTCTACGACAAAATTCCGTTAAATACTGCACATTTTCCTAAACAACCTGTCTTCGGCATCTTCTACAAGACTAGGATGCACTTAACAAGTCCTGACTTTGCAGTGAATAGGAGCTTGCTTCTTTGTCTAATTATCTGTTTAATTCTCCCTCTTCAACCTTACATTTTCCGTGCACAGTCACGCACGCCCTAAATATCCACCTACAAGTGAAGGCTGAGAGGAATGCTACCCAACTCACCCAGCATCTCAACCATCTGCCTGCCCAAAACACATTTTGGTTAAGTTAATTCCATAATTGGACCTAGGAATGTCTAGACACCACTACGATGTGAATACTGTCTATATAATTCTGCTAAAGCAACGAGTTCGAGGATCCACTGGAGTTACCTTAATACCGTTTTTTTCTTCTTTTCACAACTCTATGATTGCTACTCCCAAATAGCTTTAACTGTATTACTCCAGTCTAGTAAGTAAGGTTGTGTATAGCGCAGCTGCTTTTGTTTGATGACTCTAACTGCTTCATCCTTTTCGTAATCCTTCCCTCCCCCACACCCATCAAACCGCGGCCATCGGGGCACTCCCAAGCTACAGCGAAAACAACTAACTGCGAATGCCTGCGAACTGGTGGCATACAGCGACAAAAGTTCCAAATGAAAATTTTCGCAAAAGCATCTTTCTTGTAACCCTGTAAAAACCCAAAACATTGACAGCGTCACATGCCAGAGCATGTTGCACAGGTAAATATGATCCGTCCCTTTGTGGGCTCGATTTCTCAGTACCACGTGAAAATATACCCTATTAACATAAGGTTGAAAGTGAGGAACAGTTTCAGGCGTGTTCAATAAAATTCACTCTTGTTGTCAATGTTAACTCAGGCTCAAAGTGCGAGCTACCCCTTCACACAATGCGCACGAGTTGATCCCACAACACGTTTGCATCACTTAGTCAAACACGTATTAAGTGCTTGGGTGACAACCGTAAATGTATCAGATAAAGCATGCGGAAAATCTATGGTTTATGTACACATCACTTGCTTTGGAGGAACAAACGTCCAGTCTGCATTCCGTTAGATACGAATGAAGCTTGGGTAAGTGTACAACTGAGCCGTTGAGAATCGTTGTCATGTATGAACACCGTTTAAAGAACAAAAGTCCATAAGCGGTTGACATCCATTTGTTTCAAAGTTATTGTATCTGATGGTGGACACTGAATTGGTAAAAGGAAGGCTGTAGGTCCCGGTAGAGACTGGGCTTGAGCACACAATTGCGCCCTTTAAAAGCAAGTCTTGCTCGAAGCAAGGGCTGGTCAAATGAGATCGCACGTTTATGGGAGGCTCAGTCGTACATCGCTGTTTTATGCGCGGTTCCTGATGCTTGGCATGCTCCGTCATAATACCGTCCTCCAAGACCGAAGTGTTTCTTTCTGCTGAGGAGGCCTGACTTCCATGTTCCAGCTGACTAACAGATGACGTCTTACTGTCACTGTCAGACGGGGAGTTCTGCAATCGTGCCGAGCTACCATGCTCGGAAGCACTGCCGTTGGAAGACGCTGTCGGAGCATTGTGCAGTGCGTTGTTAGACTGAGTGGCATCCAGACGAAGCAGGCCACGCCGGTACTTGGCCCTGGCGTTTTGAAACCAAACCTAATACAATAGGATCGATGAAGGAAATGATATAGGTGAGGTTTTGTAAATATACACCCTTCAAGTCTGAACAAGCGTGAGTTACAAACAAAGTAAGAGATCCAAAGTCATCCTCGAGGATCGTGGTCAGTGGACCATGGTCGAACACTCGTTTTTTTGTGGCAGGAATAGACGGAGTAAAAATTTTACCAATTAGTGTAAGATAGTAGCTGACAAATGGAGTATATTTATAACGAAAACTTTTCGATTCTTAAACATTATTCCCAGAGTGATTTGGAGGATTTTAACAACGAATCAGCTTTGTACAAATTTGTATTTCGGCAATATTCACCCTTAATACAATGGCTTCTTCCGACAAGATAAGTGCAAACGATTTCACCTGTGAGTGTGACTTGGCCACATTTAGAGGCAAGGCTTAGGTTGCCTTGACGCAAGAGCTAAGAATGCTGTCAGTCTTAGAAGACTTCGTGTACGCAAAATGCAACTCTTTCCACTGATCGGCTTGTTTACTATTTACTTAGCGAAACTTAGAGAGAACATTTGGTTTTTATTGTTTGATGGTTATCGATCTGAGGACAATCAAGACGAACTCTAACGAACGCCTTGCTAAAAGGAATCGTGCATTAGTAGCCATACTAACGAAACGTAGATAACCGTGTTTGCTTCAAGTTCGCACACAACCGGGCCCCAAGCAAGCATATAAGGAACTGAGTTACCTGTAATTATGAATAACGGAAACTCCCTAGTTCCCTTCTTTTGGGATAGTCTTTCTTAAGCTTGCTTCAGGTTGTGTTCGCATCATTTTCACCGTGTTGGGGTTGAGGAGTTCAGACTTTGCTCACAGATCGTACTGGAGCGAACGCCACTTCAGCAGCCAGCCGTGCCGTAAATTAATGCACCCCAGGTGGTTGCATGCCGGTACCATCCAGACATAGTTCCTAGCTAAACAAAAGGGGCTTCAACATATAAGGTTCAGTGCAACCTGCAATGGCGACTACCTGTCTATGGGGACCAGCCAAAAACATCCCCATCTTTTCTCCTATGAGTAATGTCCCTATACATGAATCTGGCCATGGCGACCACTTCTCCATGGTGGCCAGTTTTTGTCGGTCCCTTGAGTGATCGCCTTAAACATGTTCAACTGTACTTGGATTGTTGAACAAGTTGCTGGTTTACTTGCAACATATTCATGCCCGATTAAAATTAATCGGAAAAAGCCTGGGTGTGTAAAACATACAGCGACTATAGGGATTTCTGAATGATCCATCAGTGGAGTGCATCCTGGACACAGCTTCTAAGATCGCACCAACAGGTGTGCAGTCAGAAAATTTGAATTGTCCCTTCCCACTTCACAGACTGGAAGCCTCTAATAGCTGTGCACCATCACAAGTAAGGTAGCACTGTTATTTTGTTTGACTCAATCTCGTGAGACTATCACAAACGCGTTCTCATAGCTACAATGGCAGTCGTTTGAAATTTTGCCTTCAGTCCTTCGGAAATAAAGCTAATTGATCTGTTGGAATCATGAGGATTCAACAGTCACCGGTGACTATCCATGTTTCGCAATGCAAGTTTCATATACACCTGTCCCCTGGTTCACTAGTCACGTATGCAGGCTTTGGGTGCTCCAATCAAGAGGAAGTGGTGACCGTCATTTAACTTGCCTTATTGACATAACGTAATTAAATGCCATTAGATTGTGTTATCTCGTTCCGAAAAGGAAGAACTTGAGAGCTCCCAATGCACCACAATATAGTCCACATATGCTGCTAGTGTAATCAGAGTAAACAACCTAATGGATTGTGCTAGGAGAACCAGCTGGTGCCCTTGAAGAAGTAGCAGATCTTGGTAGTATGATGCGCGTCATTCAATCTCACATAATTCTGCCTTTTGGAGTGCAATGCATTAAACGGTATGAATTCATCCCCAACAACCTGCAATTTCGAAGCGACTTGGTTAAAATATAAAGTTAATTTCCGGTTTGCAATAGCCGAATTTCAACTATCGTTGCCAATTTTACCGATTACACAGGTTACTGATCTGGCTTGTTATGAACAAACTCTGAGGGAACTGGGTGCCCGGCAGACAGCTGAATTCACTCACATCGGCAACATGCGCACAAGGTTTTTGATGGCACCAAGTGCATAACTTGCATCAATGTTGCAATTGGGCCGAGAGGGGAGTGTAACGACGTCACTTCGACCCGGGGAGAACACTTGTATGTACGAGTCACGCCCCTTGGAAACAGACTAGCCATTCAACTTATTCTCGCAGCCTTGTGAGCGCTCGCGACAAAAACGTGACAGAGCCTTTGTCTAGAGTGCCCGCTTGCTCACAGTTTCCCTGCCTGATGTTAACCAGTCAGTGTAACTTTCTGTTTTAGCAACGGAATGTAATCTGTGATTTGTAGGGAGCGCACGACCGAACCTAGTGGGAGATGTCACATGCTTTGAGATTCGTTTAAATAATCCTGCCAATTTCTGTCTGAATCCACGAAGATATTCCATCGCCACCAATCTGAAATATCCAGCGGAAAAGCAACATTGTTGGGTCCTTCTCAATAATTACTCCATCCCGGAATGTCGTTTCTGCCTCGGCATATTATTACTGGATAGCTAGGCTTCTAGTGATGGTGTTCGGAACGCATTCCACGCTGTTGATCTCACTCACATCTAGATGATCACTCACTATCAGGCCGGACCGCTAGCTTTCTAGGTGGTAATTTCAGATAGTGATCAGAAACCTGGCTTGACCTAAGAACTGTCGGACTTCAGGGACTTGATCCAAACGCGAAGGTGTGGGAAAATGTCTGCTTTGATGCTCTGCTATGTGCTGAAAAATCTTCTATTGAAACCGCTCACTGCCATGTTGAGCACTTCCTTGGTTTGATCCTTCAATTTCAACTAAGGCGGTAAAATTGCAAAACCACAATCTAACCTTAGGTGATTACTCCTCGAGCTCCGTCAGGCCGGGATACCTGAGGACCTTGGAGACAACAGTAAGAGCTATCTTAATCCTAAAGCGTTGTTATTGATTACGATGTAAGCCTTTGTTTCACATTATAACGGCGGTTGTCCTGGTTCAGGTGCCCCATGCTGAGGCTGATGTTGCATTCTTGATGCTTCTTCACCGCAGTTCGGCTAAATCAACTTCACTTAAACTAGATATTTTTAAGCTGGCTAAATTTCATTCCACTTTATTTGGTTTGTTCTGCCTACCTGAAAAATGTTCTATTAACTGGCCGAGTTGCTTCCGCTAATTGCGCTTATCTTCGATAATTTTGTTGCTTTTGTAGCATGTTTAAGTAAATTGTGGATATTTTTTCCTTATCGCGGGTGCGTTGCTGATCAACTTACTTCAAATGCTAATTTAGCGAAGAGTTATGCCACCGTATCTGTATGCATTATTGGACTTGTTTTATTTCATCTTGTCGTTTCAAGTGATTGGCTGTTGTTTGGTATCCCCGGTGTGGCTGCGCTTGATGTGCATGTTGACAAGGTGCCTACCTGTCTATTATACACTACGTCGTCCATACTGGCTCTAGGAGACAGCTGGTCATTGCTGGAGGGGACGGGGTGCACCGTCCTTGTGGACGTGCTAGGATCAAACAGTGGTTCCATGCACTCAGTGTGGAGCGGACTACGGTCAAGCCACCACCTTGTGTGCGCTTGATTTCCCATATACAGCGTGCTTTTGTTTGCCTGTGAAGGAGCGTGGGCCGGCTCCATTGATGAAACGTGGCCCCCATCCACATGCCTCCCGGTCTTATTCCTTCGGGTTTACACTGGAAATGGGGTGTATGGATGGAGCTGTGGGTGGTGCAGCGCAAGCCACCCGTGTTCCTTCTGTAGGCGCAGGCGTGCTGTGACTGACCACAGTGACAGGCAAATCGGAAACCGGATGCCGCCAAACAAGTCCTGGTTCTGGCAGTGGAATATCAGTTTGTCAAATAATCGTTTCGCCTTATGTAGTCCTTCGGCAACGGGTACCACAAATTTACGAATTTCGTTGTACATGATGCATTCTGCTCCATCGCAAAAGTATTCTTTTCTTGACACTTGGTTTTTGTTTTATTGCGTGACAATCAGTAAACCGTGAAAGCCAATCGGTGAGAATTATCTGTGGCCTACGGTAGATCAGAAGTAGAGCGAAGAGATGAACAACCAACCCGACCAAAATAAGTGATGAAAATGTCAATGCAACTAAGACTTAACGAGAGCAAAAACTGCAGCGCTAAACCAGTTTGCCAACGCGAAATTTGCATCCGTCTATAAGTCAGCAAGCCAAGTATGTACGTCTCCCTTCGTTAACATTGGAAAACAGAAATATCAAAGAACAAGATGCACATGATAATAACTCCACGGGGTTTCCTACTGAAGAATCCAGACATATGTCTGCTGCGAAAGAATGACAATTATGGCGGCGAACTGCATCGCAGAGCCTCGGATAGCTCGCTTTTAAGTAATATCAGTAGCCTTCACACTGTGCCACACTCCGGAGGATAAGACTTTTCCGATCGTCTAATCCAAGGGCACGTGGTTGCACCGATGGTTGGAGTTTGGTTCATCGTTCGGGTCAATGTTTACGGATCTGCGAGTCATGAAAGCCGGTTTAACAACCGAAAGAGAAGTAAAAATTTACCAACATCATCGCTATTCGGTCCACGCACATAGAACGCGCTCGATTCCACATGGCCGCGAAGCTGAGAGACCTCAACATTCGCATGCGGATCATATGACTGGATTCGGGTGCAAAAGCCTTTTTTTACGTCGTTTAGCATGTTTTTGGCGGTCATTTGAGAAGTGTGGTGGGATAGTATCCTGACATTTCACGAAGCTTGACTCAGAAGTAAATCGAGATTCAACTGGCAGTTATCTTCGCAAACTTTTTCTCTGTGCATATATCTGATCTTTTCGGGGTACATGCTTCACGACCTGCTCGACTCTGGGAACACATCTATTCTGCAGGACACAGATTGTGTGTGGTTACGTTAACCCCTT